GATGGATGGATGGATGGATGGATGGATGGATGGATGGATGGATGGATGGATGGATGGATGGATGGACAAAAAGGATGATTTTTAAACTGGTCAAACTTTAGCAGTTCTAGCAAGCAATGCTAAAATTAGCTACGCTATTAGCGCTATTAGCACACAAGCATCATTTCTGACTGTCTTTTAGATTTATTGAGTTATTAAAACTCCAAAGAAARAAACATTAGCACCTTAGGACTACTCGCATGATAAAAGACAGCATGTACTAATTAAAGGAGCCATTGTTGCTCTGTCACAGCCTGTTGGTAGGATCAGTGTGACAAGGAAAAAAGATCATGTTCAGCAATTAGATCACTGCAATCCTGTTTGACTGCTTGACGACACTTATTTTAAAACTGTGAACCTTCAAAACAGCAAAGTACCAAAGAGGTTTTGAGAAATAATGAATGATGATGAAAATCATATTTCTAACCCTACTCGAGGCGTATTTTAATCACATGGAAGGAGAAATGATGCAAAGTTGCTTATTTTTAAAGTGTCTTGTCTTTTTTTTTGTGGAAAATATTGTAAATGTTAGCTGAATCGATATCCTTTTAAGCACTTAGCAGAAATCTATCACTTCATTCATGCCACAAAGTTAATGACTTCCAAGAAGCTAATCTAAAGAGTAAACTTTGAACTTCAGCTGGCTGCTTGGATTTTATAAAGACTATTACTGGAAAAACAATGGACTCACACAATGAATGGATTTCTAGTACAACCAGAGTATTAAAAAAAAGTGACCCAAATCTACTATAAGCAGTGCACGTTGGCTATAGGCTGACTGAGACTCTGCTTTTATATTAACTCATGGTAGGAAGTCTGTTTATTTCTTCACTCTTGATTTTATTGAAGATGTATAACTTAATTAGAATTGTGAATGTAAATACTACAAGTAATAAACTGTTCACAAAAGCATGGATTTTTTTTTTATTAAAACATGAGGCAATGTCAGCTTTTCTTGACCAGAATAAACAACTGTCCTCCTGCTGATTATTTACAGCAGGAAGCTCCTGAGGTACGTACAGAACAGAAATCTGCACATCATTACAAAGTGTAGAAGACTTGAATGAGCACAAAAGAGAGCCTCAGTGCATTCCCTCTCCCCGTGCACTCGCTGACATTGTGTTTTTGTCCTTGCTGTCAAAGCTAATAAACACTCATTCATTTACAGACTCATTCAATTTCTCTGTAGAGCAGAAACTGTATGAAATGGCTTTGATGTACTGGTTTTCACCGATTGCACGTTTGCATTCATCCCTGATTTGTGTTTATGTAAATGCGTGCGCGTTTCGTTTATCTCACCACATGGGCTTGTCTGGCCTCCTCTATATAGTGCGTGGTGATGATGACAGATACTTTTCCCGTCTTCACGATCTCCACCAGGTGCTGCCAGATCCTGGAAATAACACCAAATAAACATATTAAATAAGACTGGATCTGACGTCGATGACAACAGGTCCACTGCCAGGCCTCTGATCTGGACAGGGTTTGTGATTATACAGCGAAGCGACACTCTTCACTTCATCTTACTGGGTCAAAATGTAAAAAAGTACAATTTTGAGTGCAAATACTTGACTCTTTTCACGTAATAACTATTTAAATAAACTTAAACGTCCACATCAGTCAGTATTATGAAAATGAACATTATATTTATTCTGTTTTAAGAGGCTATATTACATTTCATTAGAGAAACTGTAGTTGTGATTTTTGAGGTGTTAGGATCTCTGTCACCTGTTCTCTTGATCCTCGGTCCCTTTCTGCTCCTCAGCTCTTGCCCCAACCACTATCACCTGTTCTCATTTGCCATTTAGCAACCCATTTATCTAATCAGCCCCTGTCCATATAACCCCTCAGCTCTCGTTCATCTTCAGTCGAGCATTGTGTGTTCATTTCATGCCACATCCAGGTCTCTATGGTTCTCCATGGTCACCTCTTCCTGCTCCTCCTCAGGCTCTCCTCAAGTATGTTTGTTGCAGGGTTTTTTGCTGCCAAGTTGGCCTTTTGTTGTAATTAAAATGAAGTTATTTTTATTTGAGTTCCTTATTTCAGACCAGGATTCAACCTTCAAAACCACAGCATGAGGACATCATTTTACAAAAGAATTACTATCGTGGTTTTTTTTGTATAATTACAGCTAAAGTATTTTTATCACTATAAAGCTGGTTATAGATTGGAAGACCATCTTTACATTTTACTAAATTTCATCTTATTTTTCTTCATCTAAATCATCGTAAGGCATGAGAGCTATGTTTTTGCTCCAAATCAAGTTCCTTCTACTTCCAAAACTCCTCAGCTTCAGACGATCATCCGTCTACAAACGTGGGCATAATATTTGACTTATTGACTTCAATTTAGCAAACATATCAAGTCTGTTGTTCCAGTTTCCGTTTAAATATAGCTAAAACATGCCCTCTATTTTCTGTTCAGCAATACAAGAATATAGTTTGGGATTTTGTATGATATCAGTGGTTCTCAGACTGTTCAGGTTCTGAACTTCTGATCCAAGAAATACCAGCAGCAGTAACACATTCTCACTCCCAACTCATCACATATTGACACTTTTCCAAGGTTCCCTCTGCGTCTTATTTTGATGTGTCGGGTACTCCCTTCAAGTCAGTTATTGGCACACSAGGCATTTCCAGGTTCCCTCGGCATCTGGTTTTGAAGCGTCAGGATGCAAAAAATAGGGGTCTTTGAGTTGGGGTCAGTKGTTAATATTAGGGATCAGGGTTCATGGTTAATTTTAGGTAGTGGGGTCAGGGATAGGATGTCTAGGGCGAATTTTAGGTAATTTTAGGCTTTGGGACGGTTAGATTTGTGCATTTTCTACACTTTCTGAAATTATGACAACGGATTCCGCCCCATCTTGTGTAACTGATGCGAGGGGGGTACCCGACGTGTCAGAACCGGATGCAGAAGGAACCTTGGAAAAGCGTCAATATGTGACGAGTTGGGAGTGAGAATGGGTTGGCAGCAGAGACTTGTAACTGGTAATATGTGGGGTCACAGTTTTCTGCAACTGTCATTTTGTGGGCCGGAAGCTACAAAGTTTGAGAACCACTGATCTGAAGAATGAGAGCACATAGACTTCTATAGACTCCTGATCAAGCTCCTCTAAGTGAACCTTGCTTGACTCAAAACCCTGCTCTGGTCAGTTAGGTGTAAAATCTCAATTGAAACCTGGTGTATGTGTAATTTGGGAATTTATTTCATCTAAATATGGTCTCTTTCTTCAGTTAATGTGTTTTAAGGTGGTATCTGGAAACTGTTAAAAGAAAACAAAAAAGTGTTACATACTTGGACCGGAGCACAGGGTCCACTCCGACTGTTGGTTCATCCAGGATGAGCAGCTCTGGGTTCTGCAGCAAAGCAGCTCCGAGGGACACTCGTCTCCGCTGACCGCCACTGTTACAACCATGGAAAAACAAAGATAAGAATCAAAACCTGGGACTTCTCTTCTGATGCTGGTTTGTAACCTTATTTCAGGTTTATTTCCACACCTTGGTCAACATCAAATTCAAGGACCTTTCAAGGACTTTCCAGTACCAATTTCCTCAAATTCAAGAACCACACACGACGGCAATTACCTACTGCTACCGCAGAGTGTTACCAATAAACAGGTTTRATATCATGTAAATTCAATGAAAACGGAACAACATGGAAGAAAGTGGATTAAATGTACACCATATTCATATCTACAATACACGGACATGTAATTATGTCCTGGGAGGTTGGGCGGCTCAGTTTGGGAGGAGGGGATGTGAACATGTCCAGACGCTCGGTGAGGACAGGAGGGGCTGTGGTGCTCTCACCTGGGCTCAGAAAGAAAGAGCCACCCTACTCTGCTCTGATTGGCTAAAACTATGACTATGGCTCACGTTATTTGTTGAAAGCCACGTCGGTTTACCGTAATCCTGAGTTATCCACCACGACAAATGTAAGGATTTATTTATTTATTTATTTATTTATTACAGATGATGGAAATCAGTCATGTGAATAGAGAACTTCAATCCCCAAAAAACATTCAAGGACTTTCAAGAACAAATGCAATTTTTGGCTGTTTTCACAAACTTTCCAGGACCTTGAAAGGATTTTTTTCTCCAAATTCACAAACTTCCAAGGATTTCAAGGACCCGTGGGAACCCTGTTATTTGTGCATGCCACTCAATCCAGAGGGAGGTGGAATGCATGGGAGCYGAAAGGGGCCACAACAAAACGTTCAAGACAAACCTGCCTGACGGGGCAGAAGTAAACAACAATACCTGAGATGACTTCACTAGGAGGGGGATATGGTCTTAATGCAAAAAAGCATAGGTTGTCAATGTGTWACTAATGAAAAGCCTGGTTCTACAATGTATGAAAATGAAAGTAGCATCTGAAAAAGAAGCATCCCAATCACAAGCTTGTTGAACATGTTTGTTCATACCAAACATATCTGTCATTTTACAGGCAGCTGGGATTTTACCAGAACACTCAAAACAGACAGCAGACTRCAGCAACATGATTTACATAACAAGCAGTGGAAAACTCTGAAAATGGTTTTATCTTTACAGGTCATTGTGTTTAAAAGAAAAAGACAAAAATGTCTGCGTTAATTCGGCCACAGTGAAAGTGATTTAAATATTACACACAGAAAGCTGGTTTAAGGGGCCCCTCTCTGCTAAATGAGATTTCTGATTTAGAAATGTTCTCTAAGATTATTCTCTTTAACTAAAAACCTATAAAATCCATGAATAAATTTGAGGTTTCACAAAAATATTAGCGGATTCATTATAAAAAGTTTGTGTTTTGGGAAAGGGCTCAAAAAGTCCCAAGCAGTGAGTACAACCAATCAGCAAATACAACTTTTTTTCGATGCTTTATGAAATCTCAACTTTTTGTTCCTGATGATGATGATGATGATGCAAGGAAGGTGAGGCTGAAGGTGGAGCATGTGATGCAACACAAATTCCTGCTTGGTTACACACGTTTTGTTGCAGCTGTTAAAGTTCATATATGGCAGAAACATTGGACTTATTTACTGCCTAAAGATTGCAGAAATATCATTATTTATTATTATATTCTGCTGAAGATTTTGTCTTAATGACTATAGAAACATGAGACAAAACCAGTGTTGCCAGATCGCTCACTTTTAATTAGCTTTACAGTTAAAAATAGTTTTGAGTCCGGTAAAAAAAAAAAAAAACAATTATTGGGCATCTTCTTTTATTCGTTTGCATTTTCTGTGGTTTCTATTAATCACTCCGAGACACTCGGTGGAGATTACTATACTGTAATCACTGACTTGCTTTTGTTGGGCCAACGCTRGTGCGGTGATGTCATGATGACTTTTATTGACTTTCCCCTGCCTGCTTATCAGACACACTCTAAATGTTTTGTTGTTTTACAGCCTCCGAACAGGAACGCTTATGTTTTTCTCTGTAAGGAAGGGTTCAAAGTCTGCAGAACAGTATAAACTGCCTTTTAGTCATATCACTCCTGAGACTGGCACCTCCTAAAAATAACCTTATTTATGTTTTACAGGACAAAATAGCTGAAAATTACCTTTTTAGAAGGGTAAAAAAATACAAATTTTGAGAACATATATAGTTCTGCGTAGACATTTTTTTTTTATTTACCTGAGATTTCGGACCAGGCTCTGCTTTTGAGGTAGATGCAGAAAGTCAATCAGGAAGTCCATGCGCGCCTGGGTTTCCTTCGAAGTCAGGCCGTGGATCCGACCGAAGAAAGTCAACGTGTCGCTGATGGTGAACTCGTTGTACAGCGCTAATTCCTGCACACCACAAACAGAACCTTGCTTCAAGCTATTGAAAGCAAAAGATTTATAATCCTCGTGATGTAAAGAACATAGAAATTTTAGATTACCTGAACCTGATTTAAACCAACATTTAACAAGATAATACTTCAAAGCAAGAATTAAACACTTTAATGCTCTGAAATAGACATGATTATTAGTTTGTCTAAAGCAGAATGATTAGGATTAATGATTTACACACAGAGAAATGGAAACTATTTAAACAGTTTGATAAATGGTTATTTTTAGAATTGGTTCAGAAGATTCTTAATTCTGCCAGATTGTTAGATTATTCAGAAAGTAACTGAGAGGAAACGGAGATTATTTTATCAGCTTAAAGGTTCAGAATTCAAATTGTTCTATTTGTAATACRGTATGTAAAGAATATACTTTAAATCAGTGTTTCCCAAAGTGGGGTCAGGACCCAAAGTGGGGTCCCGAAACATCAAGTTGGGGTCCTGAAAAGATTTTCTGAATTAATGAGATTTTTGCCTTAGTTGTTACAAAGGAGTGAGGTTAGTGTATTTAAAATGGATAAATGTAGTATAAAAATATTGTTACTATGTCCATGTTTAGTTGACCTGATACAAATGTTTATCATMCARAAAYAGYTGKGGGCWCAGGTCTCTGCTRCTGTTATTTTGTGGGTCAAAAGCTGAAAAGTTTGGGAACCACTGHACTTTGGTTCCCAAAGTTGGGMTTGGGACCCAATTATGGGTCATGAAGCACCTTGGATAATCTCCAGAAATCAATTTAAAGGGTAATAAAATAAATGCTGATGTAATATTTTCCCTATAACTATTACAAAAACACAAAATAAGTATTTATATTGTGTATAAGCTGTTTAGATTGTCAAAAAGCCTGTGTTTTTAAGGTTATTAACAAAGTTCGTGTACTCAGACCAGYAATATTTGGGSTCACAAGTTTTTGCCATRGATATTTTGTGGGTCAGAAGATAAAAAGTTTGGGAACCACTGCTTTAAATAAAGCCCTATGGACACTTTTTCAAAAGCATTTTGACAAGATTTCCCACAAATTGCTGCCTGGGTGTCAAGAAACGTTTTCTGTATTTTTGCAACAAACAACAGAGACGTAGCATCACATGTTTCAGGTGTAACATTCCTTTCTCTTTAGGTAATAGGTCACAGTGTGATGCACAGGGTGACACATAAGAAAGAAGAATAACAAGTGTCTAACTGGCTTTATTGGAAATCTAGACTGACAGAAATGAGGACCACTGCAATTAAGACTAAATTACAGAAGCCCTGGAGGAAGCTACTAATCGTGGCTGTAAAAGAGGAGCAGCCTGACATCATTGTTGTATATATATAAATATATCCATATTTAACTATATGATCACTTTTGTTAATTGCCTGAARGATTTATTTTTAATTAAAAATTCAGAATGCACTTTTTCAGCGTGCACTTGTTGATTACCTGTGGCATGTATCCAATCATTTTTCCCGGAACCTCGTGACCAGGAAATGCAGGCGGCTTCCCCAGCACAGTGATGTGACCTCGTGAGATTTTCAGTGTTCCCACAATGCATTTCAGAAGAGTTGTCTTTCCACATCCGCTGGGTCCCAAAAGGCCATAACTGCGGTAAAAAAAAAATGGGGAACGACTGTTTTACATTCACCACAAAAAGTCTTAAGTACATTTCCCAGTTGCATCTCAGGGAGTTAGTGTAGTGAAGTAGTCATCTGGCTGAAAGTGACACTTCTCTCCAGATAAAACATTCCTCACCTGCATCAGCGACAATCAGATCAGCTAAAAACCTGAGGATTAATTTGAGGTATGCACAGATAAAACAGAATGGTTGAGATTCCTCACAATTTGATGGCATAAATTACACAAAACAAGTTGACTACTTATCACGATGTCCTAGAATCAGAAATATTCATGTTTTTGACTTTTTGTTCCATCAGAAAACAATGTTGATGATCTTGCTTTTGAGAATTCTTTAATTATCCTCAGAGGTTTTTGTTCATGAGTGAAGAATACAACTCTRATGTTGCTACGTGCCTTTAAGACACCATAGCCAGTCAGCAACAGCTTACGGCAAACTGACAACTTAATGGAAACTCGCTGATATTTGAACACTCCCAGAAGCTTCAGCACTTCTTTTAATCACAATCGTTCTATTATTATAACAGTCCATAGCCCTTTGATTCAACCAGGATGATACATGGCCGACATTGTTCAGCTGGGTTAGGACATGCAATAATCACACAGCACAAAAGGAGCTGATTGTGCTGAACAGACAGTCTGCATGCCTGAAAACTTCTTGACCTTTGTAGGAAACTGAAAAAGAAAACTAATCAGATTGCACAGATTACATCTCGTACAGTACGGTGCTGCATTTTTTTTTTTGCTCTGCATATTTCTAGAAAAGACAGCTAACTTAGATTGATTACATTGTTTTTTGCAATGACTTGAATATGAAACGCTAAAATTATTTGAGAGCAAAGTTTTTCTTTCTTTCTCTCTTTCGCGTTTGTTCTTCCTCGTCTCGTTTAGAGTTCAGTTTTAGTTTAGTTTTAGTTTTATTTACGGGTACCCCATTAGTCTGTGTCTCAGCAGACTATTCTTCCTGGGGACCAACACAGAAAATAAAACACATTACAAACAAAACAATGCAATCAACAAAACAAACATCATTAAAATAAAACTAAAAAAGCACATACAAGTGAGGAAAAAAAAGCTACCGCAAACCTCAAACAAAGAAAGCTCAACGTGAAATCTATAACAGAGAGTGGAAGAATCTAGGTCAGGGTAGGAAAAGCGGGACATAAATCACAACGATGTGACTCTGAAATGATGGAGACAAATGACTGACAGCAGCTATGTGAAACAAAAGACGTGCGTTTTAAGTTGTTTTAAGGAGGTGAAAGTTGGGACTGCTCCTACTCCTGCTCTGGTACACCGTGTTTTTGCTTTGCAGGGGTGTTCTAAAACATTCCCCGCTCTTTGAAATTTTGAAATGTTTCTTGKTTTGTCTGCAAGGAGCAAAAGACGTCAGATCAATTCAAGGCTCCCCGACTGACTGAGCAGAGAGTGGACGTGTTTGGAGACTGATCAGTCGTCAGATGTAGGATAAAGCAGAGCAGACAGTGTCCCAGCAACTCACCCAGGAATGCAAACGTCTTTAGCATGAAGAGAACATCTTGAACGATCGATAAGAGGAGGACGGGTTCATTACTTGTGTCTTCTAGTGTCACAAGGAGCGCAGCTCAGGTTTTATTCTTTTAGCTTGTTTAACTTTCAAAGGAAAGCTTTACAAGAGAAAAGTGAGACCAGCTATATGGTTTGGACATGCAGCTGCCAGGAAAAAGATGAAGAGGAGCWATAAAGATGCAGTTAGAAGACATGGAGGTAGTAAGAACAGAGACGATGACTCGTTGTGGTGACCCCTGAAAGGGGAACAGCCAAAAGAAGAGGGAGGAAAAATGGTCAGATTCAGGTTGGAGTGAAAGCAGCAGCACTCACATGTGTCCCTGTGGTACAGTCAGGTTCAGGTCACTGAGGACCTTCAGTTTTCCGTAGGACCGGCACACATCTCGACACTGGATCGTAAAATCATCCTGTGCCGTGGACAGAGGCGCTTCCAAATCAACTTTCATGTTTCCCTCTTTCATCTAAAAAAAACAGTTTGGAAAAAGACAAAAGCAGTGATTGAATCATTCACTCACCCCTTTAATATACTGAACATCCGTTTGTCATAAGCTGTGCAGGTTTTTTGAGAAARATTTGTGATCATCTCCAGATGTAATTAAAAAGTACTGGGTTGACTCCAAAACCCTAATGAGTTGTATCCATCAAACGATTATTGTGTGCAAGTTTAAYTCAAATCTGTCCACTGGGATGGAGGTGAGACGACATATTTTGCCGACAAACTGGTAAATAAATACACACAAAGTGCCCCTTGTTTTTGGCAGAAGGCAACAGCATTTCAAAACAATATTTTCAATAAAATAGTGCTTAAAATGATTTCTTTCTTTAACATGAATGACAGATTTGCAATAAAGTCAGACGGTTTTTATGCCAAARTGCTGTTCTTTGTTTTAACACGTAGCAGTTTAGTTTTAARTAATKTAATTTTGTTTAAAAAAAGAAGTCCACACCTAAAAAAAGTGTTTTTTTTTTCAAGATTTGCACAAACCTTCCCCCCAAAAGAAAGCTTTATAACAAGCTTTTAACTTCTTAATTGTTAACCACACTTAAATAGAAACACAAAAGTCAGATTAGATGTTAAACACCAGACATTTGAGGCTGTTTATCTTAGGAGTTGGCAAGGGCAAGGTTAAGAAAAAGGTTGAAGAAAGGTGTTAGCTTTTCTATACTTTATCTTAAATAATGTGGGTTTTAACCAGAAGGGCGAAGCGTTCTGTGCTCAGCTTTGTTCGGACAGCGAGGTCACACACAGCCAGCTTTTACCTTGAGATGATGTTCTGTCACCTGCCAGGTAGATGGGGGCGCTGCTGGAGAATCTGTCTTTAGACCGTCGAACAGGGGACCCCTAGGCGTGCTCTTTGACTCGTTTACGTCTACGTCAGCCGTAACCAGAAGA